TTTTTTGAAAAATTGCAATCGGTTCTCTACGACCACAACTGTCATCATCTGATAGTAACAGCCGAGAAACTCTGACCTCTTCCCACCGCTCGATTTCCCTTCCTTCAGCGCAGGTTAAACACGCCCTCTGCACAAAGCTAAGTTTTGCTTTTTGGCGCAGCTCACTGGGTTGTCCTCTCATAGTTTCGCGGCCTTCAGCATGTACTTGGCGCTTTCGCTCGTTCTCAATCGCTTCAGAATGACAGCTCCTGGCGCTATTTCAGTAACGAAGCGCATTTTGGTGCAGAACAACCTAGACATCCAAATTCACAAGACCGCAACTTTTAGCTTGAAGAGCCACTTTACCCGTCCCGTAGCTCGCTACCCACCTTAGAATTAGGCAAAAGTCCCACTCCCGCGCTTACAATGGTTCCTCCGCACGTTTCAGCGCTAAACGTCCCACCACATTGAACAGCGCTCGGCTCATTTTTCGCATATCGATTACATTCGCTGTGAGGAACTCCTGACTTTCCTTCACCCCAGATTATTTGCCATTTTTCCAAGAATTACATTATCCCACCAATTTTGATGTAATTCAATAACTTACCAGCAAACCCATCCCCTCCCGCTACACTTTGAAGCCTGTCGCTTTTTGCTACCAAGGCAGATCGCGGCATCTGTCACTCTTTATCAAATGACGGAACGCTCACAAAAAGAGGCACTTGCCTGTCAAGTGCCAAGTTTATCTGTTTTTGTTATTTATCTAATCGTAGAGAAAGTGGGTCTAAAAATTCAATATTCCCATGCATATATTCAACTTTTTATACCGGATAACTATTCCTAAGTCCCAGGTGTGATCTGAGGCGGGCCTTGCATCAAGGGAGATTGTGCCGTTGGACCGCTCCTGATTGGCTGCTCAAATGCGATCAACCAACCACAGGCATGTTTGCCGCTGGGACGCTTTTGATTGGCTGCTCAATTGCGGTCACCAATCACAAGCCTTCTTGGCACAAGTCTCGCAAACTCAGCGTGACATTATTTCCGAGCGGCACAAACATCCAGGAACAAAATAATCCCTTCAAAAACTTCCATTCAACCCCAATTTAGTGGCTCAAGTATTTACGGTTATTTGTTTCAAACACATAAAAACACAAGAATCACTCACTTAACATCCAATATGCAGTCAATCGCACCTATACTCAAACTTGATGACAGCGCTTCCAGCGCTGAATTTTCCAAGTACTTCATTGAAAGAGCCTGGAAAACGGGATTATTCCTGAACTTCTAGTAACACCTATAAAACAAGGAACAAGAGGAGAGAGACAAATCAATAGCTCATGCCGATCGATGGACCCACCGCAATGACGAACAATTACGCGAAAAATTATAACGAACACCTGCGACGTGACAGAGCAAACATGCCGAACAAAAACCTGAGAGAAAATCAATGCGATCGACCCAGTTCTCACGTCATTTTACTCGTACGCGTCGTAGTCACGCCGAATACACAACGGCCGACGCCTAAAAAACTGCTTCAGCTGGAGGCTTGTCAGAAACGGCGCCGATCTCCCGCTGTGAATGAGTTTGAATCGGTTTTGATGTTTAATTGTTGAAGCTGGTTTTATTTTTACTGCGCATAATCAATTGCTTTGGAAACATCTCTTTCTACGACTTTCTTCCGGCACTTCCCATGCTACCAGTTCTCCATTACTTTCGTTTTTTCACTTAGTAATGTCAGCTTTGTCTTTTCAGTTAGTAAAGGTCAGCTTTGCCGGAAAGTTCCCGTCCATTTTTTTAATGTTTAGAAGCCCAAATTATTGCACGACACGTAGAAGTTCCATTAGGAATGTTTGGCTGCCGGTATTGTTCTCTATATAACTGATATAATCAAATAATCATTATTAATTGAGCCGCCTTATTTCGCTCCTTTTTAAACTGAATGTAGCAAAATATTGGAGCTTCTAGCGTCGTTCGATGAATGTTTTCCTGTGAGTCTAAGCAAGGTAAGAAAGAGCCAGGACGTCAAGGAATGATTCGGATGAGAACAGCTTTCCGATTTCGGACTTTGAATGATACACCGGTTCAGCACTCGTGAGCTTCTGGACGTGGGAAATTTCGCGCGCGAGAACTCTAAGATATCGATTTTAGCGACTTGGGAAATACTGCGTTCTCCAGCGATCTCGCCCCACCAAAACAGAGATGGCGTGATCAATCGGCCACCGGATTGCCGATTGATGGACCCAATACTCCTGCAATCGCAAAGTTTGAACGCGGCCAAACTTGGCGTGAACAATGTTCTAGAACTTCCGCTGCTGAAGTTGTTGAACAGGATCACGTGGCAGAGCCTCTGCTTCGCCCTTTCCCCCCCCCCCTCTCCCCACCAAAGCAAGGTTATCGCGCAGGGCGCAGGCCAGGGTCACGAGAGATAGCGCGGGAAGATAGGGGACAACTGTTTTCAAAGCATTTAAGGGTACGGATATGATGAGCCAGAGGATGCTCTTTTTTATGGTGGGGGGGGGGGGGTTCTGGGTGAGTGAGCCACTTATCCTACGTGAAAACTTGGCAGGTGCGAGGTTACTGGATGATAGCACGTAATGCAGGTGACAAGCGCAGAGAGGACCGGAAAATTCAGCAACCCGCAGCGATTCTGGTCGTCTGGGCTGCAAGCCTAAGCGCTGATTAGGAGAAGGGACGCAGAGCCACAAGCTGTGTACAGGCCCTGCCTCTACCGTGTTAGCACAGAGCTAGGAGAAAACCTAATCAAAAACCGGATTTTATTCCGGGGAAGTAGGTTCCGATATCCGAATTCCGTCCACGGTAGTTTATGCCGTATTGAATTTTCGACTCTTTTGAGGTGCGAGACTCTTCGTCGGGTAGCTCTCGCTTAGAGGTGGTGACAGTAGCATGAGAGCGAATTCATACGAAACCTCTTCAATGGGCTGAAGCTCCTGTCTCCTGCAGTGGAAGCGAATGATAATACCTTTGGCAGGCATTTGAAAGACTTCGCATGCTAAAGTGGAACGCCATCTAACGAAGTATCGTTTTGGAAATTGGTACAGCAAGCCCGAAAACCTTTTCCCTGTAGGAAAGAGTTTCTTTCATTGTTGCTGGCGACAACCCGGTTTTGCCATTAAGAGGCCTCAGAGAGCCTGCCGAGTTGTTAGCGCTGACAGATTTTCATGTTTCTTTTTCTCTCGGCCGTCACGCGATTGTCCCGGATCCAGATAATCTGGGAATCCCGACTTTGAGTCGAATTTTTTTTTGAAAAATCGTTATCAAGGAATTTTCTCCATTTTCCTTTGATGAATGGAAAACAAATTTAAAGACACGGTGTTCGGCCTCTAATAATTCCGTCTGGCATACGCCATGCACATGATTTCTATTTACTATGGTGGTAGGAATTGAAAGTGTACTTGATCCGTGTACTGATTTACGGGACTAGTCGATGTACATCCTGATCGGAGAAACGTACATCTTGGTTGACGGTTACGGGACTCCATCCATGTACACCCATGTGGTAGTGGCGCTATTTTCCACTGCTCTATTTCCAGCCGTATGCTGGCAGCCTACTTAGCAGTGCAACTTATGATTCTCCAAATGGATAACTTTCAGACAACCAGTATTTACTTTTTCAAAAACTAATTCTGACCTGCGTCCTTCATGCGTATCTGAAACAAGCTTCGTCAATATTTCCCAACATTTGCGATCAGCTCTGCCGTGAGCGTGATTTGTGGGTGGCCTTGTTTTTCTCTGACTGGTCATAAAGGTGAAGAAATAATCTTGATGATTCACTTGTTTT